GTGCAACCGGCAGAAGTGGTGGAAAAGCCGAAGCCACTGGAACTGAAGCCTCGTGGTGGGTTGTCGTATCGGTTCAGCAGAGCGTGGGCAGATGTGGTGGACGATGATGAACAGGCGGAGGCCTTGGTCTCGTATGCCGCTTCCTCAAGCGATTCAAGCGAGGAGGAGACCAATGCCGCGCAGCGCCTGAAGGAAATCTTTTTGAAAGAAAGGGATTCACAGAGAACTGCGATTCGTGGCAATGTTCCGATGGGTGGTTCTTCCGGCCCCAATGACGGGCAGAAAAAATCGGTTCACCTTGGCAAAGAACGCGACAAAGCGTCGCGGGGGGAGACCCGCCAAGAAGTGACTTCTCAAGTTTTTTCGCTACCACAACCTTCTCGTCGAACTGAACAGTCTCAAAAAAGAGCAAGGGATGGCTCAGTTATAGTTGGTTCGCTGGCGGTGGGCTCCACGGATGAGGTTTTACCTGGGCAAGGTGTTGCTGGACAGGTGAATGTATCTGAAGGCGCTCAAGTTCTTCCTGGGCAAGAAGTGGCTGGACAGGAGACGGCGCTGGAAGGAGCGGTGCAAATTCCTGGCGAGGAGACTGACCAAAACGAAGGAGAAGGTGGGAGCAATGAACTCCATGGTGATGGTGCGAAGACATTGGATGTTCGTCCGGTGAAGAATGTTCCTCAGCAATTGCTGGTTAAAGGTCTTCTGAATCGGATTTATTGGAAGGTTGCAGTTGGCAAGTTGCCGGTGGGGCAAAGAGACTGCCAAAAAGGGTCCAATAAGATGGATCGAAATTTGGTTATTAGCATGTCATCCGAAGGTGCAAGCGAACAGGATGAGAACCTGGCACTGGAGGACGATGCTGATCAGTCAATGGGTGACGGTGCGATGGTAGTTCTGGTGTATGATCCAAGGACGCTGATTCAGTCGCCTACAACTGATTGGGTTATGCGTCGTGGTCTGACCGATCGTTCCGTCTGGCCAGCAATGGCGTACACAGCACAGAGAATATGTGCTGAAATGGTTCAAGTGGATGAACTGAATGCCCAGTTGAATACTGGGAGACTCCTTTTTGAAAGGAGAGATCAAGGATATTATTGTGATTTGCATCATTCGTTCCATGACAATCCGTGCTTGCCGGTGGTGGGAGAAGAGGAGACATCCAGTGGGTCGTCAAGACTGGCGGGCACAAGGATTTTCTTGTGGTCAGTGTACTCTCGCGTTGCTTCCAATTTCTCTACGCAGGACCGCACTACTGGGAAGATCTTTGACAGCACAAAGGGGTATCCTGGTGAAGGACCAAACAATGGTGACAATCCTTCCTCTAAGAGGAACTTACCCTGGATCTCTGAAGACTACCTCGACGAAGTGGTGTCAAAAAAGATGGAAAGGTCTTCAGATATGGATGGGCTGGAGGGGTTTGTTCCGGGAAGTGAGGGATCGTTGGAAAAGGTAGAGGTGGAGAATGTTACTGCCTCTAAAATTCTTATGGCTCTTTGGAAAAAGGGATATAGAGCTGGGTATAGGAGGTTGTGTCGTTTGAACGTATCTGGATGCAAGGTTGGAACCGTGAAGCGTCCAATCAAAAGGGTGCAGAAGATCGGCGCTAGGAAAGCCTTCATGAAGAAGTTCAATGTTTTTGGATCGTCTCAGCATGGCTCAGGAGTTGGCGGAAAACCAATCATGAAGGTGGTAGGACCAAGGCCAGGTTTTCCAGCTGTACTCCAAGCACCAACTACTGATAGCACGTCGGGTGAAGGGAGCAGTCCCCAGGTACATGGCAATGTTCATGTAGAGCACAATCGCCCTATGGACCGGTATGAGGCAGAGCGCTTGGAGAAGAGGAAGAAGGGCTTCTGCTACTGGTTCGGCAAGGGGAAAGATCGCTGCAAATTTGGTGACGACTGCAAATTCATCCATTCAGAAGATGATGTGGTGCTGCATTCGTATTGGTGCAAATACTATGTGGCGGGGAGACCCTGTTTCGCTGGAAAGACGTGTGCGTTCTCGCATGATGCAACTGGTGTGAGGTGCATTCAGTTTGCTCAGTCTGGGAAGTGTCGTTATGGTGACAGGTGTGTTTTTGAGCATGGTGATCCGCTGAATGAACAGAGGCCAAGGTCTCCGAGGACGCCCCCAAGGGATGGTCCAAGGAGAAGTTCTGGTGCAAAAGGTGGGGAAGAGGAGATCTCTCCTGAACAGTTCGATGATGGTGAGGAGTATTCCATGACCTATGACGATGACACCAAAATGTCGGAACTGTTGATGGAAGCGATTTCATTTCTGTCGAATGGCAAAACAGATTTGGCCCGAGCAGAGGCGGACCCACTGTTCAAACTCCTGAAGTTCAAGGGAGATGCTGACCAGATGGATAGAGAATGGGTATCGTGGACCGACGATATGTTGTCCGTGCTGGAACTTCACGAAGTAGTGAAGTCGTATGAGGTTTCGCTCGAGGAGGTGGAAGAATGGGTCAATGACCTGAGGATATGGTTCGAGCGAGCCAACGTGGAAGAAGAAAAAGATCCCAAAAGGGGCAAGAAGAGGTCCCTAGAAAGGGAGTCCAGCAAAGATATTCCTGCCGAAAAGGAGGTGGTTGAGACTTCTGAGACGGAGGTTGTCGTCGAGGAGGAGGCAAGAAAGGTTAAAAAGAAGAGGAAAACTGCAGTTATCGAAGATCCTTACACTCTCCTGGTTCCAAAGCCTAAGAAGATGCCGGCGACCATTGAGAAGAGTGGATCATCATCCAATGCGGCGGTTTCTGCAGGGGAAAAAGCCTCGAAAATGCGCACAAAGTCAAACGTCGGTGGAAAGACGCAGAAGAAGGAGAAAAGTCAGAGTCCCAAAAAGGAAGAGGTGGTAATGGTGCAAGGTCCTGAGGAAAAGGATCGTCCATCTGATGTGGATGCGCAAGCGTCTACAGCTGTGAGTGCAGAGCTGGGTCAATCTTGCCAAGCGATTGAGGACGCAAAAAGAGAAGGATTGGTATCCTCAATTCAAAGGGGCGTACAGGATCCTGTTCTTGCAGTTTCGGACCTGGAGTATATTCTGCTGCAACTTCACCTCAAGATTGCCAACAATCGGAAAAAGAAGTGATTGGATGGTATGGATGAAGGGATGGTTTTTCTCTTTCTGGAGACAGGTGCGCTGGAACAGCCAATGTGCTGACAAATGTGGTGGTTACTATTAAGGGTATGGAAATCCCTGATAGTAGAAGTCAGTAGCTTTTCGCGTAGCGAAGACCACGGTTTGTGGTGAAGAAGGCCAAGGAGTCTTCAGTGATGAGAGGATCATGGTGAAAAGAGATTCTCTGTGGGTAGTAGGTTAGCCAATGTGCTATAATTCCGTCCTGGAAGACGTTAAACCATAACATGCATTTCAAGCAGCTGGCTGCTGCCTTAATGGCAGTTTTTGGCCAAAAGATCTGCACCTCCAATGTGTCCTAGGAAATCCTAGGACAGGGGGAGTGCGGAGCTGCAATTGGTATTGTAGAAAGGAGTTCGTGTTGGGGTTGGATGGGTCAATGAACCCGGAAATCATATTTGGCTCAAGATGGCCGAGAGCCGTCAGCTTTTGTTGAAAAAGTACGTACGCTTGGGGTTGGGTTTAACGGGTTGGAGTAGTCCCGTCCCTTCTCCCTTATCTTGTCCCCTTAGGGTTGGGTGTTCTTGTTTCTGGTTCGATCTGGGAAATCTATATAGGCGACTGTTGAGGGTTGGTTTCTTTCCCTGTTCCCTTTCGGTTGCCCCCGTATAGGGTTTAGGGCCTTGAGTTGTGTTCGTCGATTTTCGCACCATCAGAAATGAAAGCAGTAGTCGTAGTTGTTCAGGATGGTCCTGAAGTAAAAGTAAGTAGTAGAAGCCAGTGCGAATAAGAAGATTTTCCGCAACGCGAAGTGTAAACGCTTGCGCCATCTCCAGCAGCCGGGCCGGCACAAGCCACGGGACGTGCACGTCGGCGGTCCAAGGGGCGCACCTCGGAGTTTCCAGTCCGCACGGTCAGGGCTGCAGATACGAAGACCAGCTGTGGTTGGAGGACAAAGATGCCAGAGAGCAGGCGGCGCTTAAACCTGATACCTTGAAGCCGCAGGGTGTAGGGTTTAGGGTATAGGGTTTAGGCTTGAGGGTTTAGGGTTTAGGGGTATATAGGCTTGCCGGAGAGCCGCCGCAGTTTGCCGTAGAGGCTTCACGGTGTCAGCAGGCCGTGCAGGGCCTTCGGTGCACAGGTTGTCTCTGCTCATGGGCTTGTTGCAAAGTGAATCGAATTTGGCAGCCATGAGCCCCGAAGGAAAATGAAGGAATTATTATTCAATGGTTTCTTACCAAGTATGGCCCAATGGGTTTCTTGCCAAATACGGTCGGACCTGGTCCTTGCAGAGATTCCTGCCTCGACCGCATAGGTTTCGCTTAGGCTTCTCCTAGGCGTTCCTCCGCGAAAATTTTGGGCAGGCTTGGGTTGGTGTGCGTTTGCATAGGTTTGGTGTGTGGAGAGCATGTCGTGCAGCTGTTTGCGTTTGTTGTGGTTACAATGTCAAGTCGAGTGAGGCATCGATGCCTTCTTGTCCGGTCGGCCTGCTGCAGCCACAGACGCTCGATGTGGCAGTGTGTTCGGGAAGGGCTGCGAGCAACAAGCAAGCGGACAGAAGAAAAGCATTGAAACATATTGAAACATGTTTCCAGCGTTTTATCGCTGCCCATCAACCTAGAGCTTGTCACACACGCCCAGTTTGTTGTTTAAATTGGTTGTTTCCTTTGCTTCCGGCTCTCTGTCCTCATGGCAAGGACAGCGAGTACCTCAGCAAGCTCTTGCCGTATGTGGGAGCTCCACATCATTCCCGGCTGATGAGCATGCATCCACTTAGTGAGATCAGGACATCAAGTCCCGTGTTTCTATGCAAAGCCGCTGGCAAGAGTGGTAAGGTAAGTGTCAGCAGTCCGTGCTTGGCTTGCACTCCGTTCCATGAGCATGAGAATCTTCTCGGTTTGCGGTGCCCCTGCGGTGCCATGAGCATGAGCTACATGAGCCATATGGGCCATGTGCGCAGGAATGGCTGCCAAATGGAGGGCGTGAGCATGAAAGAGGCCACTGGCTTACAGCAGGTCCTGCAGTCGTGTGTGTATTGCCCTTGCTGGTGCGAATTTCGATGCCTTTTACTTGAGAAGGTTCCTTCACAAGAAATCAGCCTTGAAAGAGGGTTGGATGGTAAAACGCCTGTCGGGATTGCCGTAGTCGATGCACATTTTCCAAGGTGTGGAAGCGGCGGAAACTCGGCCACTTGCCTTGCAGTCAGCCATGCGTCCAATGCGGTTTACAGATATTTACAGGGTGCAGAACAAGAGTAGAATGCATCGACACTGATCCTATGGCGAGGCAACTTCGTGCTGCAGAATTCCACGTCTGAGTCGTATCAGTCGCACGGTGAGGCAGGAATCAGGAGTTGCAAAAACGAGTTGGCACTTTTGCACACTGACCTGCTTGTCACCACCCTGAATGCGTGCAGGCATCAGGGCCTGCTGCAGCAGAGCCTCAGATGAAACACTCCAGATGGGTGGTTGTCAAAATTATGGTCCTTTTTGGGGTACCCTAAAAATTAGGTTCCGTATTATAAAAGGGATCCAAAAAGGACCCTAATTTTGACAACCACTCAGATGTTCAACCAACGCTCAGCCTGTCCACTGACCAGTGCACCAGTGCCACCGAGGAGTTCACCTCCAACGACACCATCAACAGAGTACGGCGGAAGCACACACGGTCGAACCTTGCGCCCTGCGATAAGTTCAAGTGGATGAAGGCACTGCACTCCCGCAACATCCCGTGCCAGACTAGTCTTGGATCTGTTGTTGCTCTCGCCCTGTTTTCTCAGAGCACGCCTGTGTTTGCGTGTCCTGGCTTCTGTATGAGAGGAGCAATGTTTGACATTCTGTCCCGCCTGTGTTACGTGAGAAGAGGATGTTTTGCTGTCTCGAATAGCGGGGGTGTGTCAAGCCCTAAACCCCGAAAGTTGAGTTCTTCAACAAAGGGCGGTGGGGTTGGGGTTGCCAGGGCTAATCGTCTATTCCGGAGGAGGATGGTAGCCACCATGATCCAGAATTCCCCATCAACCCCTGAAAATGCGAAGAACAACATGCTCCCCAACAACAGTGCACCTGAAAGTAATTATACAAGGTGTATGTAACAAAAGGGCACGCACCTGACTCCAGACTTCCCTCTTCTCTTGCGAAGGTCGCCTCGACATCCATTGGTTGGCATGCCGAGACAGACCATGGCCGCTCTTTGTTGAAGCATCCTGTGTACCTCGGTGGATATAGGTTCAACGCGGTTCAATGTCCCATCTCCTACACATCCTAGAAGCTCCAGAAGGTCCAATCCTGATTTGTGGCGCCGAGGCACGGCATTGCCGAGTCCACAGTCACAAAGACCTACAGCAACATGAAGGCACGGTGCTTCCATGCGGATGGTAGGCTGCACATAAGCCATGCACTAGGCAGTCACCTGCGGTATAGGAGTGCGAGGGGGTTCATTTGTGGCAAGTTCTGCATGGCAACAGCTCATCTGATCTGCCTTGGTGGTTTCAGTGCGCAACCGTCAGTTCCTTGCTTTAAAGAATTGGAGTTTCTGGGGAGGCGTCCAGGGAACCCTCTGGAGGTTATGTGAGGGGAGGGTTCAGAGTTTAGCGTTTGGGGCTGAGGGTAGCTGGTTTCATTTGGAGGGTAGATGTTCACTGCCGACCTTAGCACATGATCCTGGCTCGCGCAGGCCACAAACATGGAGGCTTGCCTGCGGCTTTGCAAGTGATGCGATAGGCTGGCAGTTAGCGCAGTTAGCAAACCAGGTGATCCCTGGTTATTGCACGAGTGCAACTCCTGCAAGGTTTTCACGGGCAACCTTGGGTTCGTGCCAAAGACACAGCCCAAGATTCGCCTGCAGAAGAGGGCATTCACGGACACAGATGCAGACAATCCCCAAAAGGCCTTGGTAACTGCCACTTCTCACTTGTGATGGAAGTCTGTGAGTAGGATCGGTTGCTCCCCATCTCGGTTTGACATCGTGGCTCCAACGCTCCAGCTACATTGTAGGCGTGATCCATCTTCATCTTCTGGGAATCATGTGCAGAAGTAGAAAGGACAGTGCATTGGACCGGCAAAAGTTGCTGAGCTTAAGCAAGCGTGCGGAGCCAGATGTGTCGGAAGTGTGCTGATCAAAGATCACGCATCGATTCATGGGCGGTTTCACCAGCTCAGTAACTTGCTGAAGGCATGCGCAGAGCAGGAAGAAGGTCGCACAGGTGGTCGTGTGCGCGGATGTAAGCACAACATGCGCTCCCGGAAGTGTTGCTCTGGAAAGCGGGGGAACATCAGTGTTGGAGGGCTCCTGGATGTTGTTGGTTTTCTGCTCTTGGGGCTCGTGGGGGCTCGTGCAACAAAAAAGGTCCTCGGTTCTTCACCGGTGGGGTATGGTGGGGTAAACCATCACAAGCAGCCGCCCACCTGGGCGAACTAGCACGGTACGTCGCTTCGTGAGTCTTGTCAAAGCTGAGGCCCCAGTGACCTGCCACACCAGTTGCAATCGCTGCGATGGCGCCACGGAGGACCTCGTGGTGGCCACTTCCTTCTTGTCAGTCATTGACTATGCAGCGCATGCAGCAGTAGAATTCTTCTAGTCATCTTTGTAATTTCATGTTTGTTTGCTGTCATTCATCAACTTTTGAGGAAGGAAGTGGAAGATCTTGCATGGAGCATTCCTGACATCGGAACTTGAAAGGAAGTTGTTGCTCAAGTCACATTGAAGTTGTTTTGGTTGCGCTTCAGAGGTGAGTATGATCCACAATCTTGTATTGGTTCTACTCTGCCTCAATTTCGGGGCAAGCGCCAAATCGTCACTGAGCAGGAGGATTGTCTCAGCTGCAAAGCCCGCCGATTCCTGTGCCGCGGCAGCACAATCACAAATGTTTGAGAGTTCAACACCGTGTTAAGCTGCATTTAGGTGGCTGGCAATCATCTTGTCCAGCAGTGTGCTTGATGCTGTGTAATTTCTTCCACAAGGCACGAGAGGAGGTGCATGGAACAGTGCCCAGACGGCACGTATGGCGACTCCGACGAAAAATCATGCAGCGAATGTGACCCGCAGGCATTTAATATGAGCTTGCAAGTCACAAGGCTGGCCCATCCAAGTCCGAGCTGCATTTGTGTGTGAGAGCTGAGGTCACGAGTCTTGTGCCACTTGCAAGGATCCCAGTGAAGAAATGAGTGTGCGTGAGCATCCGCAAGCTTTGCAGACTCTACGAAGCTTTGCCGAGGCTCGGGAAGCCGGGTTGCCTGGATGCAAGAAGGCTCTCATTGCCCATAGCAAACCCAGATGTGTCAAGCAGCACACTTCTTGTCAGCAGTGCTCCACAGGGCATTGTCCTTGCAGAAATGCTGAGGAAGCAGATTGCCAAAGCTGTGCCAGCGAGGAGAACTTCTTGCACAATGGCCGGTGTTTGACAGCTTGCAGCTTGGACAGCCCTAGCTATGAATAACTGTGAAGGCTTCCTCGTGGATTGCTCTGACTACTGTAAGTCTCTCTCCATTTGGGTTTTTGGTTTCAGAGGAGATTTGCGGTTGCTACTGGTAGTTGGTAGAAGACGTTAGACGACCCGTTTGCAAGCTCACCTGAAAACAGGCCGATGGCCTCCATCGTACTCAACAACTCGGCAACCGCTTGCAGGCCCACGGCAGTACTTCGCCAACGCGGAAAGAGTCTGTGTCAAGCTTGCCGGCAGCGTGCTTCGGCTGCACCTTGTGCATCCCTGTGCCACTATCACACGTGTGGAGCTTTCTACTTCAGCGAGCAGACGAGGTGGTCGCCCTGAAGACGTCTCTTAGCGGGACAGAAGGCATGTACATGCGCAGTGGCAATGCTGTGCATCCGAGTGTAAAGTAATGGACTGCTGACACCTCGGAAGTGAATTTCTTCTGTGATTGCTCGCATTGTCTGAATCGCTTCAATTGCGATGTAGCCGTGGTCAGTGCTTCTGCTTAACCGAGGACCGGGAATGGCGAAACCTTCTTCGTGTACTCCAACAGCACGGACTGTGTCAAACTGGTACCTTTGGTGGATGCCTCAAAAGGGCTTGCCAGGTCCAAGCTGTGGTGGTGTGCTTGGTAGGTAGATGTGGTATGTTCGCTTGCTCATGGTGTGGACCTTCGAGGTTTCGCTTGTGAGAAATTGCTGTCAGCATGGTCTGTTGCTGGCGGCACATCTCAAATGGTGCAAATTGAGGGGGCCGCAAACGTTCAAGAACATTAACGTCTCGCATCTGATAGCGATGCCTCGCAGTCTTGCCCTGTGTGTGGCTGAACCGATTCGTCATTTCGAAGCGAGACGGGGAATGTCTCGGCCAAGCTTGGAGAAGAGAAAGAGGGGGGGGGGGGGGGTCCTTGTGGCTTCCGGAGACCGGAAGAACATTGTCCTTGCTTCGTGGCATCAACATCCCACTGCAAAAGCCGCGAATACATACTAGTACACCTTTGACCCCATGTGGTCTGAACCAAATGGTCAGTTCTCTGAATTATGGCTCCTCCTCAACCTTTTCGTGTGCCCTTCCAGCATGCATACGTCAGCTGCTCTTCCTGCCGCAACAAATTTGTAGTTGAACTGCCGGAGACCCACTCGTAACTTTGCGCTCGAGCGTAAAGGAGTTTCAGTGCGGCCTGCTCCCCAAAGCACGCACGTACTCGGACATGTGATGCCCAAATCTCCAAAGCGTGTCGTCACATGGGATGGGCAAACCGACCGAGTGCGGCAGTCATGAACTGTTCTGCACAGCTTATTGGCTAGAACTGCAACCTATGACGACTGCGAAATGAGGATGAGAAGGAGAAGGCGAATCCAAAGGCAGTCAGCGATGAAGCGAGCCTCCCTTGCACTGTAGCACATTGGTTAGTATGCTGTTGCATGGTGATAGACAGTATATTCAGTTTCCTGCCTCGTTTTGCACATTTTTTGTGATTGTGGATACCTGAAAGTTGGTGTGCACGAGGAAAATGTGGATGGTCTCGGATATGGGCAATGGAGAGAGCTCCCTGCGCAATGCACTGTGGCTGCATTGTCTTTCACGAGCCGAACAGATCACGATGCATCGAGGCTGACCTCTGTAAGCCCCGCCTGAGGTCAGAACAGGCATGGCGTTGCAAATGTCCTCTGGTCGCAAGCATGTTTGCTTAAGAAGACGTAAAGTAGTTTGCACGGACTCATATCTATGGAACGGTTTCGCCGAAATATGGTTGCATCACAGTGGTGTTCACTTGACGGAGTAACATTGGAGTTTCAGTCTGAACTCTGCTCAGCTGCTTATCATGCACCGAGCTGCTCTCTTGCAGTATGCTTGCAGGGACGAGCTAGAGCCAGCTAAAGCCGCTTGTGGAGGGCCTGTAATCTGCCAGAACCCTGAAACTTCTACTTAGAGTCGGTTGAGGCGAAGAGGACACTTGACCCTTCTCCCGCAGCAAGGCTAGCACAACGGCGCTCGCAAACGAAAGAGTCTGGCTGCTCCGAGACCGTTGCTGGCTGCGCAGTGGCACGGCCACCTTCGCCAGCAGCTTGCCTGCACGGAGTATCAACAGAGTGGCATCAAACACTGGCATTTCTCTGCCTCTCCAAAAGATCAATCGTGTGGTCTAGCAGTGGCGTCGCAGTCCTTGATGCAAGGTTTGTTCTGAGTGAAGTTGAGTGAAGAGTTGATTGAGTGAATTGCTGGGGTTAAATGAGGGGAATGAATCCACATGCAGAGAAAGCAGACGGCCCTGTGCCCACTCTTTGCATCACTTTGCTGTCCCCGCTTTGCTGTCTTCTCCTTCAGATCTTCGGGCAAAGCGAGCTTTGGACAGATGCAGAATGGGCAAGCGGCCCCTCGGTGTGCACTCTCGGGCCCCACGCTGGCGGGTTGTACTGGTCCATTGTATAGGGGGGCTTCCGAAATTAAGGGGTACCTTTTTGGGGTCCTTTTCCAAAGAAGATCCTGCTATTTGCGGTGCAATTATAGGGGCATCCCTTAGTTTCGTAAACCCCGGGTATGTAGCATGGAAGATTGCTGCTTGAAGGAACGATGTCCAGAAAGCTGCAGCGGGCAGTTTGTTCAGCGCATCAGTGGCTGTTGCTGAGGCAGATGCGAGAAAAGCGCCTTCACCATTTCGTCTGCAGGCATCAATGCCTTCCACGATAGCTGCATAGTATAGCTTCTTACAGGTTATATAAGTTTAAGAGGTCAATACTTTGGTTATAGTTTGCAGTTTACGGCACGGTATGATACAGTATAGCACAGTGCAGTTGTGGAGTGTACAGCTCGCGGGCCTTAAGCTGTCAAGTCTAAGGAGAGGGTTTCGGGTTTGGGGATTGCAGCCCTGTGTTTATAGGTCCAGCAATCATCGGCCTCAGTGTGGGCAAACGCTGCTCTGCGGGACTACTTCAGAAACTGTTCGGCAAAGCATGTGTCACCGGCGCATAGTTCAGACAGCGTGCCCTCATCGACGTGACAGCTGAGGCTACTTGCGCTTCCACAAAGGAGCAGTTATGATGTCGGACGAGGTCGACGCAAGCTGAGGCCTCAGGTCAGCTCTGGGCAATCAAATCTCTCTCCCACTCTCCCTTTCTTCCTCTCTCTCCCTTTCTCCCTCTCTCTCTCTCTCGCTCTCTTTCCGCTGCCTGTCTTGCCAGCATTGATCTGTCCGTCCGCCAGACGCCATAAGCTCTGAGAGCGGTTGAGCGGGCTGCAGCTGAAATCCGAGGCGAACCAAAGCTGGGGAAGAACCTTCGCA